GAGCCGTTCATCGAGCATGTCCGACAACATGGAGAACACGTCGTCTGCTGTCCCAGCTGCGAAACCGACTTCCACCGCGTCACCCTCGATAAATGACACCACCAGATCGCGCAAATCACCAAGATTGTCGCCGAGTCCCGGTGATGTACCCTTCAAATGTTATCTGTGCGACAGCGGTTTCTCGGAACGCCAGGACTGCCTGGACCACATCAAGGCCAGTCATAGTCGTTCGTACGATATGTTGAAGGCCAAAGGGGCTCTCGACATGGCGTCCATGAATATAGACGCAAACGAAGATCAGATGTTAGCGTCGCACCAACATCTCAGCGACGGAGAAGAAAAGAAAGGCCGTTTTCCTGATTACAGCAACAGAAAGGTAATAAGGTATAACGGAATTTTAAAAAGATTTCTAGAAAAATTATATTAGATACACACGAACATGATTCGCATGAAAAAGTAAATAAAAATAATGTCAAATATACATTTTATAAGTGCTTTCACAAGTTTGCGTCGATAATAATGCAATCGAAGTAACATTCTTGTATCTTCTCCATCCAGGTTATGTGCGCTTTCTGCTTGAGACGATTTTGGTCCGCGGAGGATCTCCGGCGTCACATGAGAACCCACACGGGTGAGAGGCCCTTCGAATGCGACATATGCACCAGAAAATTCACGCTCAAACACAGCATGCTACGCCACCGTAAGAAACATGAGTCAGTGGACTCCGCCATGTATATAGCTAACAGCGGCGACGAGGACAATTCGCCCGCGCAACCACCAACGATAACACCCAGGAGTCAACAGCACTCGCCGATCTCCACCAACACCAGCAGGCCACGCACCCAGGATAGAATCTCTTTGCCGACCGTCGCGGCGGTAGCAACGGCAGACGCGGCACCCTGCGCCCTGATGCGGTACAATCACTATGATAACATGGCCACTCTCACCGGTAGAATGGCGAACGACGCTCCCCAGGGTGCCGCATCCGCTCCGCTGCCTTCTCCGCCGCCTCCCGCGGAGGTACCCAGTGAGAGCGGAGATAACGACTTGATCTCCAATTTGCTGGGTATACGCGAGAAAGGATTGCTCGACAAGGTTCTTCTAAGCTCGGCGGATGACGCGGCGAAGTTGTTGGGGGTGAACCATAATGAGTAATCGAATGATCACACACACAATCGTGTAAGAGACAGAAAGAAGCGGGGCACGATCAGACACATAAATCGCGTCAATAGATATAGATTAGATTGGATAAAGATACAGATTGGATTCGGAGTAAATGTAAAGTATAGAACTGTACTCAAGATATTAATTATCGAGGTATTAAGCAACTATTTTGAATTTCAGAAGACTATGAATAGAAAAAAAGCAGAATTATAATGTAACAAACCGTTTACCGCTAACAAGAGTCATTCTAAAGATTATTAGAAGATTAAAATTATCGTTAACGTCTGATCACACACCACTTTCTTTTATGGTTCATGAGCACAGAAGATACCTTGAAATTATTCGTCGGATTTTTCGATTCTCCGTTTAGGCCGCTATTTCATTTGTACGTTTTTGTCGTATGACAAATTTTTCAAGTTTGTTGATTGGCTATGGATAGAGATCCGAGGATCACTGCACACATTTGTTGTACGACAAAAACGCACAAATGAAATAGCACCCTTAAGGTTCACGATCGTGCCTTATACTCTTTTATCAATTTGTCGCACGTGTTCGTATAAAACACTGTAGTGTCTTAAAGTTTATCTGATAAAATCATTTGTGAGCAGTAGCCGAAATGGATCATTATACGCTACGTACGACATAAAATTTTATCATTTGTAACGAGAACAGGATTGTCAACAAGTTTGCTTACATCGCAAAAAGTAGGTGATACGAAGGAATCAATAGGAAGTTTATTGTACGCAAATCATGTTTTTTATTATTTTAAACTAATGTTCTAGATTAAATCTTACTTTTTTATACAATCTTAATTTTGTACGGTAAAAACTTCGGTATATAAAAAAATAAAAAAAAAGAAGTAGTTCTCAAAATCAGATCCCGATTTTGAAGAAATTTAAAGAGTAGTTAAAGAAATTCCTTTCGATTCGTTTTGCGGTTCACCTATTTTTTGCATAACTATTCGCCATGAACTATGGTGAAGTATATTATTTGCTATCATGACGTACATTTATCATTGAAAAGTACCTGCGCTGCACATTCCATTCAGTTTAATTTGTCGATGCGATTTAAAAATAAATGTTACATGGCATATCTTCCTCTTTTATCAATGCATCCGCACTATTTACGCTTCTGACATAAATTCCTTCGTAACGCCTCGAGTCTTAGTTACAAGAAGCGCGTTCTTCGTGATCCCGTATGCCTTTATATTGTGTGCGTGTGTATGTGTATATATACACTATCTTTTAAAAATTCTCGAACCTTCTAAATGTAAAATAAAACATATTCTTGTATTTTTTTTATATTTTGGCAATATATCTACAATAATTTCATCTTTTTTAACTGTGAAATAACAAAAATATCTGTAACAGATCAATATTTTGCTTGGAAAATTTAATTTTCATAAAAGAAATTTCCTTGTTTTTTTGCTTTTATTACAGTCCAACATTTGTGTATTTTGTTAATTAATTTTTCATGATTTTTCAAGTATATTTAATGATTTCTCCTCAGACATTTTAGAAAAACTGTCAGAGTTATGATATATAGTTAAAAAGGATCAAACTATGTCGCCAAAATTTAAAAAAACATTGCACAAGAATGTTTTATTTTATTTTAAGACTATCCGAAAAGTTATAAATGTGCGCGATAGCATATGTGTATATTATATATATATATATATATATATATTTCGCAAACGCGTTAACGTAGTTATAACAAATGCATTATTATTGTGTCATGAAAAGTGCATTAGGAATCGGAAGATAAAGCGAAATATTGTTTGTATCCACATTTCACGCGCAGTATTAGGTGACGCGCGATTGCGGTTCCTCAATTGTCTCAATTATAACGCCGTTGTAGCGGGATGCGAAAAATTACGAAGACAGAAAAAAAGAGAAAAGAAGACAAGGTTCCCTCTTTAAAAGGAGGCTGAACTTGCGAACATTTTTCGCGACGCCAATAAAATGGACGCTGCATTTAAATCCAAAGATAAATTCATTTTACGCAATGAATTATTCTAAGTTAGCCATACGCACTAGGATCTTATTTATTGTTAGTTACGTACTTCTATGAGAGTGAGAAAAAAAAAACATAATTTAGAGTGTGAATGTGACTAGCATGTAGATCGCCGCGACGTATTTTGGCGAAATTCGTGTTCTGAACTCGGATGTTCCGCGGGACCGTTCCCGACTGCGACTTCACGCGGAAAATCTCGAGATCGATCCTGCACGTCAATGGTAAAGAAACTCGCTCGTTCAAGGCTCGCAAATAGTTACGTATACGTGTCGATCTTATCTTGTTCTTTTCGATAGGACAGCGAGCGAAACAAAATGCAATCTTCACAAAACGATATGTGGAAACGCGAGGAGCAATATATGGTGAAGTTTATAATCACTATCAATCAATTAGATGGTAACGTCTCGTCGCGTTATGGAATCTTAGTGTATATAGATAGCTCTCGGTTATCTTTCGCGGATGCAATTATACCAAATGATTAACTTGATTATTGACGTAGGTAGGTAATATAGATTAGATTAGATTAGAGCGTGAGATGAGAGTTAGACGGCAGATTTAACTAGGCCAAAGGGAAACGATTTGTATTTCCTATTCCTTCACTCTATCCACATACACACACCCCATTTTGTTGTTCGTTTGTGCTTTTACGCAGTCTTGTACCGTCTCTACTTACATCACATTCTCTCTTCAATCTCCTCCTTCCTCTGTCTCCACATATACATAACTACAAACACACACAACATACACATACATACACACAAATACACGTAGATATACGATATTTATTATTTTATAACGGAGACGTTTGTACACGGCTATATGTTTTAGCCAGGTCTGAAACTGAGGTTGGGAATAATCGTTCTTGATCTCGTCCCGGCGCATCTCCTTGCGATGTCTCTGTCGAAGGACGTTTACAGATTCAGCCTCCGTCCATAAAAAAAAAAAGAAAAAAAGAAAAGGTCCAGTATCTTTACGAAGCGTCGCATTCCGCGGCGTTTTGTAAAGGAAAGGCTTAGTTTTTCTTTGTAACCGGGCCGAGTTTACAAATATCCTGCGATAGACACACTACGCGTAAACACACTAATTAAGGCTTTTCTGCGCATACGTATATGCTATAGGCGAACGAAGGAAAGTTATATTTATCGAAGCGAATGAGTCCGTTAGAAACTTCTCGAGTGACATTTTCTCCTCTCCCGACTGTCGTGAAAAACAAGATATCAAATAATCATTGTAGCGCACGTGTACATGAATAAGTTATATTCTCTAATTTATAAATCAGGAATAATAATAAACGATATGCAATGGATGTGTGATCATCTTTTATTTCTTTTTGTGCTTTTTCATGATTAAACAATTCTTATGGAAACTCGTGGAGTAATTTACAAAGAAATATTTCTCAGATTTGACATATAAATTTTCAAAGTAAATGTTTTGCGACTTATACTTTACAGTTTAATTATTAAGTCATTTAAATAAATTGAAAGATTTACATAAAAAACTAAAAATAAGGTAAAATCTTAAAAAATTAGTGAAATAATTTATATTACTGATGTATTTTATAATTCTTATAGTTTAAATTGGCATATCGAAATTAAAAATAAATTTTTTATATGATGATATAACATATACTCGACAAAAATCAATAGCTAATTAAATAAATATTTCATAAATATTTTCTGAAGTCGATTCAGTTCCATCAATCTAAGATTAACTTTAATCTCGGTTCAGTTCTCTTTTTATCTTCTACTAATTCAAAGAATTAGATATCGATGATAGAATTTTTATATATTATTAGATACTGATGATAGAATCTTAATCTCGGTTCAATTTAATTTTTGTCTTGTTCTAATTCTAAAAAGAGTAAATCGAGGTTGTCGTTAATCTTACATTAATGAAATTGGGCCTTATTGTTTTATGATATGCCAGTACGCGATACTGTATATCTGTAGCCCATGCATTTTGAAAAAAAAAAAAAAAACTTAAATCTTGACATTATAAGTAGATATTATACCTAAAAATCTCTTGTATACATCATTTTACTAAAATAACATAATCTTTCTAGTGTAAAATTTAAAACTTATATCACATGCAAAACAATACAACGCGTAAGTCATAAAAAAAATATTTTTTGAGCGCTTTTTTTTAATAAATCGAAAAAGTAAGGCACTGTACTTTATTTTGTCCAAAAGAAATGAAAGCTTACTAAGTGAAAATTGTATCTCTTTACAAAGATAACAATTTTAATTCATCTGACAAGTTCAAAACTGGACAATCGACAAATATTTCGGTATTCTTCACTTCCTTCATTACAGCTTCAGTCTTTTTCAGATGCTTCTTTACGAGGTCTTTGGTGAGATATGGTGCTTTGCCGGCATCATAAATAAGAAACCAGTTGATCATATTCTTGTACAAGTTATCGTAGAAGATTTGTGGCGTGTTAAAGGTCTCGCCCATATCTGCAACGATCAGTTCTTCCAACTCGTGCTCGGAGGGCTGGCACACCATGAACACCAATTTTCTCAGAAAGCCAATTATAATATCGTCATCCTCTTTGATATTGTATAGACATACCATTATTCTGGGCACCTTTTTCAATGCGTTTATGTCAATACGATATCTCTTGCCCTTTCCCTCGAAACCATAGAGTCCATCATTATCTACTGGTACTAAGAAATTAAACGCTTCAATGTTCATGTTTGTAAAAATCGTTAGGTCCAGGATTTGATCGGGCGTGATCTCCTTAAAGTGATCAAGCAAATTTATGTAGGCTTTGAATAGATAGATCAGACTGCCCTGACGATGCAATTTATTCTGAGATAATAAATGGCACCTAGTGATATTGGAGTTTTTTGTCAAGGACCTCTTGTGCTTGATTTGCATGAAACGATACACATATTTTTTGTCGGAGATGCTTCCGTCCCCCTTTATATCATTAATCGCATATTTCAAAACAAGGTCGTGAAAACCAAGCGCGTTCCGTACTTCCGTAGCCAACCACCAATTACTAATCCTGACATCCTTTTGGCACATCAACTTCCATGCGATCCATGTTAAAAGCTTCACTTGGTAAACCATACCGCGTGTGGCGCCGGTTTTTAAATAGGAGGCTGCATATTGGTTGTCCGAGTCTGCGGAGTTAACATTATTACATTAAATATTATAAAACTAGGATACCACGCGCGCGATAAAGATTTGCGATTTTATAATAATGAACAAAATTGCGATCATTAATAAATACAGTATCTTATAAGCGAAAAAAATTGTAACTGTAAAGCAGAATTTTAATACAAAGCTTATCAAATAGTTTGATAACGGAAAAATGTTAATTGTTAGATCTACTAAAAACAATGCCACATAAATTTCACTAGAACACTGACGTTTCATAAAAATTAAATTTTTCAAGTATAACATCTAGTAAACGTTGAGACTAGAGAAAGAACAAAGATTGAAAGCTAAATTTAAAAATTATGAGATATCTAAAAATAAATAACAAATATTAGTAAAGTGCTAAAAAATGTTTAAGAATTGATAGATTTAAATATGATATCGATATCGTCGTTATAACGAGGACCGACGAATCAACTAAGTTATAATTAAATCTGATACAAAAGAAATGCTGATAAAAAAGAAATACGAATCGGTCATAAAGTGATATATGATTCTCTTAGCGCGATTAGAAAGAGAGATATTAAGTTCTTTATATATGAACCTTATATTCTGCTGTCGATTCAAGAAATGCTTATTGAGCATTATGTGTCATTGTGTACACTTTGTGATATTTATGTTATTTGACATTAAATTGATGAGGAAAAAAACCAAGATAATTCAATCGATATTTATTGTAACCTTGACAAAGAATGGTATCTCAAGTGCGATATTAGATATAGGTAGATCGTCCAACAATTGCGATTATAGGGGCAATATAATGATATCACTCGATTACATATCGATTTCCGATTATTCTAAAAATCATTGAAGACGGATATATGACTGATCGAAAAAATTATCACTAAACTTTATTTTGTTAATTTTAAAGCTGGAAACACAATGGACACAGGCAATAGGCCCAGGTAACAGGGAATAACGAGCCTTCCAATCAGAGCTTTATAAGTTCGATATATCCCAGAGCTCTGGTTGGACGTCTTATTATTCCCTGTTGCCTGTTGCTTGTGTCTATTGTGTTTCCAGCTTAACCCTTACCGTACTAATATGGATAACTAGTGACCGAGCGATTCCTGCTCGTGCAAGTTTCTTTGAGTCTTTCGTTAATTATAAATTATAGTACAGTTTATTATTTTCCAAAATAAAGAGTTAATATTTATTCTAGAAAGTTGAAAGTATGTTGGTGAATTTTTAGAGATTTTTTGAATTATTTTGAAGAGGTGAAAAAACAAAGAGATTTGAAGTGACCCTTGATGGTATGGATGAGGCACCATATTGTAGATGGTACAATAAGGGTTAATATGCACATAATAGATCAATCACCATTTATATTTTAAAATTAATCAATTGTATTAATCTTTCCTAATCTATTCATTTCAAAATAATTATTCTGAGAGACGTTGTATTTATGTATACTATTAACGGAACCATTACTTCAGAATAAACAATAATTTGATACTTATCAGCCTGTCCGTATAACACCGAAGTTACATTGTAATTCCCCTGATCTGCAAAATATAAATATGAAACCTACATATGTCATAACATTTAAAATAAATAACATCAAAAACTATTATTATTTTATACATTAAATTTTTTATTCGCATTATTTTTTACAAAAAGATAACCTATTAATAATTTTCCGTAGAATTAGAAATAATTATAACGAATAAATTACGAAATGTACATATATACAACGTTGTAAGTAATTTATCAATAATGAGTTCGATTTATTGCAAATCTGATGTTACAGGGCACCTATCACGATACAAGTTGGAATGGATTCCGATTGGAATTAATGCTTTTTTTCCCTAAAAAAACACAATAGAAATCTAGGGAACAATTGAATAATTCTAATTGGAATCAATTTTGAATAATTCCATACTTTGTATCCTGGAGGGATGTAAAGGAATCGGTTGTGCTGAGCAAAAAAATGCATCAGTTGAAAGTAGATTAAACGTGCGTAAAACATAAAGCTGTGCGTCTGATACGGCCATCGATTGGCATTACAGAATGTCAACATTGATTGATGTTAGCCGACACGCGCGCGTTCTGGAATCTTTCATTCGCGATAAAAATTATAGTACTATAGAGCAGTCGGGACGTTATGGAGAAGAATTGATGATCATGATAAATATTCGAACATGCGAAGACAGATACTTACAATTATTAAAACGTTATGATTTTCTGCGAATTTAAGAGAGTTCGTATCTTCAAAGTATTGCAGCTTCGTTAGATATACACGAGAGTATTTATTTTTAAAATTATCTCATTTCCTGTTTCGACAAAATGCATTCAATATAAATAATTCAGCGTTTTTATGATATCAGTAAATAAAACTGTGAAATTTAGATGTCAAAAGAAAGACAAATAATATGTAATAAAAACTAAGAAAACATTGAATATCTGACACTATTACATTAATAAATTTCTAAATTGTATTAGTAATTGTATTTTATTTATTTGTATTATTTTATATATTAGATATACAGGAATTAATAATTAAATCGATATTTGTTACGATGAAGAATTATATACATACAATCTCATGTAAGTGTAGAGAAACTATTTTTTAAATATTTTAATTGTATGCTGATTCTACAATGAGTCTATAATCGAAAGTCTTACGGCTGTTCTACAATGTGCTTCTTGTTTCCTGTTTCTTGCTGTTTGTCTCTGTTTGTCTCTTGTCTTTTTGATCAAGAAGGCAAGAGACAAACAGCAAGAAACAGAAAACAAAAAGCACATTGTAGAACAGCCATTAGTCTTGGTGAAGTTGGTTAATCAACAATCATACAAGTTGACTATTCAACTTCACTGATAAGACTTAGGACTATCGACTATCAACTCATTATAGAATCAGTATAATTATAAAGAAATATTATAACGTTATTGTGCGGTATATCACTATATGTATGTACATATTTAAAAAAATACTTTTTAATTTAAATAATCGCTGCATAGAAATTAAGACAAAAAAGTGACAAGTAAAAACACCGAAAGAAAATTGATCCTAAAAATTTTCTTTTCATTACCTAAAAAGTACTAATTTCTTACTTACGTATCACTTTTCTACCAATGCACATTATACATCTATATATGTATCTATTCTTCGAAAGATATGTGCGTAAAGGATGATGCAACTGCGTATCGCGATTAGGAGACGTATAGTTAAGTGATACATCATAGAGAATATTTTACAGAAAACATATTTTGCATTCAATTCATAAGTATTTGGCTATTCGTAATTGCATAACAGTAGCAATACTAATAATTACGTAAATACCTCGAAATTACCGATGTTCCGATTGTTGCATTTACACACAAACCGTACCAAGATAATACGCACACACATACACAAGTTTCTCGTTTAATTTCTTTGTTAAACATAAATCTATACACAGAACTGCAATAATCATATACTGACTGATAATCATATACTGACCGATCGCGACCGCGACACTGGTGGCAGTCTTCTTTGTGGTTTTCTTATTCTCCATTTGTCCGATGCTCTTGAAGCTTGTGCCTAGTTAGCACTCTTAATTAAGTGTTAATCGCGACGTAGGCACCAATACCCAGTTGGATTTAAACTACGTGGTGTCGATTCGTTACACGCGCAATAAATACGTCTTTCCAACACAAAGTGACTGACGATTCTGAGGATAGAGGGAGAGTCCCGAAGAGCATAATGGCTCTCTCAGGAATCCCTGCAGCCTGCAATGCAATATGGGTGGGAGAAGACGAATGCGATTCGAGTGATGGTTGCGTACACTTGAGAAAAGAAATATTTAGAAATGAAAGCGATAAAGATAACGCTAAACCAGGCAAATAGGTCGGGATAATCAGGTACGCTTTGTTAATAAGACATTTTTTTTTTTATGATGTCTTTATACCCCTTACTTAAATTAATCACATGCAATTTTAAACAAAAATTTATATATACGAGATAAAATGTACAATGAGAGACTTTACAATTAACAATGTTAAAAAAATCATTTAAAAAATTTATATAGTAATATTATTTTATACAGTTATACAGGATGTCTCAGATTTTAACGACCAAACTGGATCAATGTATTTTACACACAGAAAAATATATCATTCTGCTAAGAAAGTGATTGCTCAATAGGGACCTGGACCAAAGATGTTTTTCAGTTCGGTTCTGTTATAAAACATCAAATAAGTGTTACGGTTTTATGTCAGTTTCGGTTTCGGTTCTTCTAAAAAAAAAGGTATAAAAGTTTTAGGTTTCTTTTTCAGTTCAGTCCGGATCCCTGCCTGTTGCTTAGTTTATTTTTTTTAAATAACAGTCTTAAAATATATTTATTATACAAATTTGAGAAAAAACTCATTATTATGCACTCAAATAAAAATTTATTTTTTTTTAATATTATAAAATTTTATCAACGACTTTGTATAATAATTAAACACACAATCGAATTTATTTTAATTTAATAATCTTGATGGAAGTACGAACTTATTAGGATTCAAAACATATTTTAATAAATTTTATGTTTGTGACGAACTTATAACAGATTTGCGAATATCGTGAATTTTTGAAATATTTTAAATGAATAATTAATATTTGAACGCAGTAGATATTTTTCTGTGTGTACACATAAACATGAGAAATAAATATTATTTAAAGATAGGTCCACAGAAGCTTTATAAAAAAAAATAAATAAATAAAAGGTACCACGAATTAAAAAAATTTGCTCTGATTATTAATTCTTCGAAGCGGATATTGAAGTATATATCCCTATATTCAGTTATAACAAATTTCTGTCAGAATTAAACAATTCTATTTTGTTTATATTACATTAAATTAGATTATTCTTATTAAAATATACAATGAATAGCAAAGGCTTTGAAGAATAAATCAAAGTATAAAGGTGCCTATAAGAGCCAACACTGGTTATTAGTCATGTATAATAAATTTATTAATTAAACCTAAATTGTAGACGTTTCGATCATCAATTTGGATCCTTATCAATATAAATGTTTCATACTTAAGAAAAGTATTCGTCATATAAATAACATGAACATCATAATTTAAAATTATATAAACGGATTAATGCTGGTTCATTTGATTATGTTTCTGTTTTTATGTGTTTTTATATGTCTTTATGTGTCCAAAAGTATGTATATATTTTTATGTATCTTTATGTATCTCATTTATTTTAATTGCCAAATTAAATGACAAACGCTTGGAATAATCTGGTGTCGCATTAGATCGCACGCTCGAGATCACATGCAATATGATGTCACCACACAGGTTATTCCAAGCGTTTGTCATTTAATTTGGCAATTAAAAATGAACGAGCTCTTGGATACATAAAGACAGAAACAACATCAAATAAATCGGCATTAATCCATTTATATAATTTTAAATTATGATGTTTATGTTATTTATATGATGAATTTTCGTAAATATTAAACATTTGTATTAATTGCTAATAATCCAAATTGGCGATCGAAATATCTACAATTTATGTCTAACTGATAAATTTATTAGACATAACTAATAACCGGTATTAGGTCTTATAGGCACCTTTATACTTTGATTGATTAAAATATACTCGAGATCGATATTCTTTTTATACGAATTGTCATTATTGGTTCTTTAAAATTAATTAGTATCTTTTAATTAACATAAAATAAATGAATTTTAAGACCTAGCAACAGTAACTGTTTCAGATTTTGGCGCCAGCTGCAGAGAATTAATAGTATCTGATTTTATCAATGTCTCATTTCAAAATGTTATTTCGCATCTGAACAATATTAATTCCATGGAGTATGGATTGAGAAAGTACTGTTTAAAAGAAAATATTTTTTATTTTTCTAATTTATTTCAAAGCATGTGAATATAATTAGCTGATTGTTTGATGCAAACCTTTAACCACCAATATTACCAGATTTAACATGTATATTTTTTTGTTGTAACTCTTGATTCTTAATAAAGCTTCTATGAAATTAAATTTCTAACATTTTTTTCTTATTTTAGAACATACTGACGCAGTTTGACTGTTAAAACTTGGAATACCATGTACATTATCAATTGCTTATAATAATAAAATGTGTATCTAAATGTTCCTTAAATAATGATAATTATAACAATTACGGAAAAAATTATAATTATTTTTGTTATTTAATAAAAGGAATGTTTTTCTTATGTTGATACTTTATTGTTCTTTCTGATATAAAAATCGGTTTTTTCTCATAACATTAAGGCTCGATTATTCCTCGAAAAGATAAAGAATATCGATAGTACTACTAGTAATAAATATTTTTCAATTTGTTATCGATATTTGCGAGATATCCCTATAAGAATGTATCATATTTGTGTCGTGTTACCACAACAAATTTTATAATTATAAAATTCATCTAAATCTAGAGACATTTTCAACTCAAATGCCCTCTAGGGAAATGTTCATTTTTATATAATGGTATGCTCGTAATATTCTGCTGTAATATGAATATTATAAAGAGAGAGAAGCACTATAATATAAACTTATAAATGGGGGAATCCCTTTTTTATTTTGTATATATATTTTATGTATAAGTATATATAAAATTGAAAGATATATAATCTGTGATATTCTATCATTTTTATATCAAATTAAATGTTATAACATAACTTAGTGATTTTCATGGAGTGAGGTAATTGGAAAAGATTACATTATCTTTTATCGTTTTCATAGATGTACTTTTTATTTTCGAATATTATATCTGGCGAATAATAATAATTACTTAAATAAAATCATGTGTTACGATAAATGAAGCAAACATCACTATGTACATATAAATATTACATGATTCGCTATATCGCATTCTATCGAATGCACTCTACACGTGGCAGCTTGTATATTCTACGCGCGAAAAATCGTTTAGCGTACTAACTGCGAGATATTGTTAAAACTTTTACTTTCAACATTCCCTTCAACACTATATGGAAAAAGGCGCACTCTGTTAAAAATTCAACATCTGAATTTATCGGACAATCTAACATCAGCTTGTAGCAAATAGTGCTATTAGCTTACTAAGCTTACTTATACAAACATGTGCTTTGTATTATAATTATATGACGCGCAAATCGGTCCCGTATGCGCTGTCAATTTTCATAAGGCGAACATACCTGAACATCGAGGATGATTAACGGGACCCAGAATAATCTATGTAGGAAAGCAATTATTTAGGAAGTCACACAGGAAATGTCGCCAGTAGAAACGATGTTGGATTCATAATTTTTTTATGATCCAATCACATGTAACACGTCATACTAAAAAGACCTTTTTGTTTATATTTTGTCTCTTTCTTGATGGTTTATATTTTATTCCAGCCCTGACGTTCAAAATAATCTTAATGGACATACACGCTTCTTTTACATGTATTCTATGGAAGATACATGTATTTCTTGCTAAAAATTGCAGAATCAACGATATCCATGAAAGGAATGGAAGATAGAGGAAAATTATATATATAACGATCTCTAGTTCTTTAATAGATAATATAAAAATCTGTTGGAGATATAATTTTCAACCATTTATGGGCATAAATTATTCATATACTAGGCTCTCATATATATGTATTATTCTTATTATTACGATCAAGCAACTACTTCGAATTTAGCTATTCTCAATTAAAAAAAGCTTATGGAAGTTCTTACTGGCGAAATGTCTTCTAGGAAGATCTTATTTATCGAAAAATCTTATTAATATAATCTATAGTGGAAAAAGTATTATATTATGCACGAGAAATCTGGAACACGTTGCTTGTCGAGAGATTTAATCTCTCTATATCGAATTTCTCGTCGCAATATCTAATACGCATATGTGTAAATATATAAGCTAGTTGTAACAAGCAGATGCAATACGCAAACAGAACTTTGTAGATACTAATGATATATACAACTATCGGAACATTTCCATTGTCTTTGTCATAAGTGACATGTCCTGAAAACAATATTATGAGCCCGTAATCTTATTGCACATTTAATGTTAAATGTTTTATGTCCACAATCAACAATTATTATACGTGCTTAGAAAATTATATAAAAGTAATATTCTCATTACAAACGAGAAAAGTATCTGTTGTTGCTTTCTGAATATAAATTTGAATAAAAACAAATAAATATATGTATATGTAAATATATTAATTTATAATATATTCGTAATATATTATAAATTAATATATTATATAATATATTATGTAATATATTCTATAATATATTATCGTCAATATATTCATTTCAAAGAAATATATTTCTTTACAAACAAAAACAAAATAGAAAAATAAGAGAGGAAGAGAAGGAAGGTAAGGGAGAGAGAGGGAAAGACGGAGAGCCACATTTAATACTAAATGTGCAGCGAGTATGCTTCAAATACCTATTGAGAACATCAGCAAATCTATCGCATATTTCATACGGACAATAAACATCATTAAATATGCACTCATAAGCAACTGTTAGCGTACACTGAGAATAATCGAAATATTAGAATGAAAAATTATTACTTCATTAAAACTTGCTACACCGTTTGATTCATTTTCAGATCAGTATTATGCTCCGTTGCGTCTTCCATCGAATATCTACACTTTTCAACATCTTTTGCATTTTCTTCTATCTTAACGGAGTTGTCAGCCACATGATCATTCTCGGTCTTATACATTTCACCCGATGTGGTTATATTAGCTTCTG